TTTTTTTTTAATGCGTGTCATCCTTGCGCAGGGCCCATGCTAATCTTCTCTGTATCGTTCCAATTTTAATGGATGTCCCGAAGGACTCTCTCTTTATTTATGTACGCCCGTAACATTCTTGTAGCCATCCGATTTCGTCAGGATTCGAACTCATCATCTATTTTTAGCAACATTTACAATACATGTGTTCACGATTCAGTCACACGGGGTGGGTTATTCACAATGGATTTACAATCCCTGTAGTTCACTTTCGTTCTCAGTATGTTATCCCCCCGTCTTCATCTCCTCCCCCCTCTCCTCTTTCCTCCCCCTCTTTCCCGGGTCTTCATCTCCTCCCCCCTCTCTGTCTCCCCTCCCCGCCCCCCGTTCCTCCCCCCTCACCCACCCACCGACACAGCAAACACAGCAACATGCATTAAGAAGACTCCTCAAGGACATCCGTGAAATTTGGAAGAATACAAGAAAGGTAAGCACCACCCCTTCCCTACACAAGGATGACACAAGTAGTGAAGTGTCGTTAACTCAGTGGGTAGACCACCGGTTGGAAATGCACATTGTGGTCTGAGGTTGTGGGTTCAAAACTCTGCAGCTTTGCGCATAGATACCGGCGGGTGTTAACCGACACACGGCCATTCACACTCTCTGCAGCTTTGCACATAGATACCGGCGGGCGTTAACCGACACACGGCCATTCTCACCCGTCTTCCTTGGGTTGGTGCATGGTAAGGACTACAGAGACTGCCCCGTACCGACCAAGGGGTTTAGTCCACGGTTGTTGTATGCTGGGGTTTAGGCTATGAGAGGTTTGCCTGACGTTCTTGGTCCATGGGGTTGTCCTGGTGATTGCACACTTGTCTCCTGGTCCAGTACAGTGCATGAGCAGATTAGTTGTCATTGTAGCTCAGTGGGGTTGAGCTAGGGGCCGTATAGAAGAGGTGGAGGGTTCAAATCTGATCGGGCCAGGTGGATAATACTCGTACAGAGATAGTTGGGATGCAGGCAAGGGATATTGTGAAGGGAGTGATCACGTGAGTTGGGTTACCTTAGGGCTCTGCTTTGGGGGGGTAGGGCTGCAGGTGGGATGAATACGGGGTTCCCGACAGTGGGGGGATTAGATAGGGACAGTCCCGAGGTAGGGCTTCCTGGGGGAGGGAGGATCTTGCAGTAGGGGCTGTCTTAGGGGTAAATAAGGGGGTGGGATAGCCTGGTTCCCACGTGGACAAATAGCAACCAACAACGATCAGAACAACAATAGCGCAAACACAACAATGTGACTAGAGAGGGGTCTAGAGGGACGTCTATAGGTAGAGGGGTGGATGGGGGGTGTACATCTACGGATAATGGGCTAGAACCCCCTCTAGGCCGCAATTACAACAACAACGGTGCACAAAACGAACAGCACAACAACTTGGGGGCACAGGGATGGGGTCTGCCTATTGGACTTGTAGAAGAACGTCTACACCTAGCGCTCGAAGTACCCGTACGACAGGGCTCGTCCGACTATGCTTCAATCGGGGCTGGGCTGGGTACAGCACAACAACTTGGGGGGACAGGGATGGGGTCTGCCTGTTGGACTCGTAGAAGGACGTCTAACCTAGCACTCGAAGTACCTGTACGACAGGGTTCGCCCGATTATGCTTCAATCGGGGCAGGGCGGGGTCGGGCTGGGTAGGTCCTGCTTAGCCCTCGTGCCTAAGCCCGCTGTCTGGTCAGCTCACCCCCTTTGACAAAATAGGAGGGTGATATTCCTGAGTGGTAGACACTGACGTAGGACTGTGGGAGTACGGGTGCGCCAGGGAGAAATAATGAGACGGGAACGTTGGGAGGGAGTCTCCTAAGGATTAGAGACCCCTACAGACCTTCTGGATAATCGATGGCCGAGTATCAAAGGGGACTGTCATAAGTCTAGCATCCAGGCTCTACAACAACCTGGAGTTTATAGAGAAGGGGAAAAAAAAGGGAAGGATGACACACGTACATCGAGAAACAGTCCACATGTCCTTCAAGACATCGGTTAAAATTGGAACAATACAGAGAAGATTACCATGGCCCTTGCGGAAGGATGACACGCATAAATCGTGAAACGATCCAGCAAAAACAAGAAACACTTTCCAAAAAGAGAAGGTAAAGGTCCAAAATTCCAAATATTTCGAATTTTGAAATAACGTTTACTAATAAATTCTTTAGTTCTATAAATTCTTTAATTCTATAAATAAATTCTTTAATTCTATAAATTGAATTAAATTCTTTAATTAATTATATAATTTTTTTTATTCTATAAATTCTTTAATTCTACATATATGTATTTTTTTAAGCCTTCACAATTGGTGTTTCTTCGATCTGTCACCCTACCTCCCATTTGCCAATCTTCAGGCTTGAAGCCGGGAAATTGGATGCCTTGAGCTTATTGTCTGCTGTTTGCAAGGACACTCCACTGCTTGCCGAACCTTGTTTCGTGGATTTGCCTCTCCCCAGCACCCTGACGCCACCCTCTCCTCCGGCGGCGGCCGCAGCAGCAGCAGCACAGCTACCTCCAGGCAGCCCATTTTTGCCTCCATGAAGACCATTTTTCCCGCCACGAAGTCGGTACGAGATGAAATCTAGCAGCGAAGGCGTCTTCCGCAACGTTAGCCCCAAAGGGCTTGGCTCTTTGACCACTCTGCTCCTTCGTGGCACCTTGCCGACCGCTTCTGGCTTATCCAAATTCATCGCCACATCGTCAGTCCAGGCAGCCGCCGCCTGCGGCCTTTCCGAGGGTCGCCCGTCAATAGGGAACCCTGATTTGACCCCCTCCTGCAGTAAGAACAATCATATGCCGCCAAGCGCATTCAGCAACCTGTGCGTCAGATAACGACACGTCAGAGTAACAAAGCACACGGTACAGTAGACTGCGGCATACTTTTTTTTTGTGAGCTGGATTACGCAGCACAGCTTCCTGCTGCAGTCAGAACAATCAGATGCCGCCAAGCGCATTCAGCCACCTGTGCGCCAGATAACGACACGTCAGAGTAACAGAGCACACACCCCACTGACAGTAGACTGAGGCATACTTTTTTTTGTGAACTGGATTACGCAGCAACACAGCTTCAGCTTCCTCCTGCAGTAAGAACAATGAGATGCCGCCAAGCGCATTCAGCCACCTGTGCGTCAGATAACGATACGTCAGAGTAACAGAGCACACACCGCACTGACAGTAGACTGAAGCATACCTTCTTTTGTGGACTGGATTACGCAACACAGCTAATTCTGGCCGTGATTTCTAAGGGTTGCCGGCCATGAGGACTGACTGAGTTGTTAACTGGGTTAGCAAGAGATAAACCGAGGAGGGGGTGAGTTAACTGAGCAGCACAACAAAACTTCAACTGGGTCAGGAAGAGAGAACTGTTGGGTTTCCTGCTGGAGAGAGACATCAACAGTGTGGCTATGGCAGCAAGAGAAGGGAGAGGCATGGTAGTGGTGCATTGTCTCTTCTGCACATCCATGCTAGGCATGGATGAACCGCCATACCCAGTTGTGCTGCCATACGAAGAGGAGAGGAGAGGAAAGGAGAGGAGAGGAGAGGAGAGAGAGAGAAGGAGGGAGGGAGGGAGACAGAGAGAGAAAGGTGAGTATTTGAGTGCTGGCAGCAAGGGGGATCATTCGGACATTGATTCTTGATCATTCTTCTTTCCCCTTCTTCGTCTTCTTCTTCTTCTTGGCGGGATAATCAATTGTAAGCCGATTTCAAATTTGAATGCTGCCGATACATAACTGAACGACGCAGCGGACTAGGACAACGCGTGTGGGACTACGCCGGTAGCTAGTTGAATGATATAACGGGAGGGCAAGGCCGTCGGCCCTCTATTCTCAGTTGCTTGGTCGGAAAGTCTGGTGGTGCCGCAAGGCGGATCTGGGGAGAAGGCCCCCTGAGGAGTGCCAGGAGCGCAGCCTGGCCGAAACGCGTCGGGGAAATTGCGCGTTTTTTTCTGAGAGCTGTACATGCGGAGAAGAAATGTAAATCTGTTGATGCATGTACGAGAAGCAGTCTATGGCCACTGTTTTCACTATTCTTCTTCTTCTTCTTCTTCTTCGTCGTCGTCGTCGTCTTCTCCTTCTAGACAAAGAAGAATGAAGAAAGGAAGAGGAGGAGGAAGAAGAAGATGAATGAAGAAAGAAGGAAGAGTACGAAGTGGTGGTAGTAGGAGGAGGAGAAGGAGGAGCAGGAGGAGGAGAAGAAGAGGAAGAAGAGGAAGAAGAATGAAGAAAGAAGGAAGAATAGGAAGTAGAAGTAGTAGAAGAAGAAGAAGAAGAAGAAGAAGAAGAAGAAGAAGAAGAAGAAAGAAGAATGGAGGAAGAGGGAAATCTCAGAGGAGGAGGAAGAAGAAGAAGATCTGCCTCACATAATCGTTGCCTCCTCTTCGAACAAAGGATCAAGAATCAATGTCCGAATGATCCCCCTTGCTGCCAGCACTCAAAGAACTCTCCTTTCAACTTCTTTCTCTTCTTCTCTTCCTCCTGCTCCTCCTCCTCTTCCTCCTCCTCCTCCTCCTCCTACTACTACTACTACTACTACTACTACTACTACTACTACTACTTCGTACTCTTCCTTCTTTCTTCATTCATCTTCCTCTTCCTCCTTCTCTTCCTTTCTTCATTCTTCTTCGTCTTTCTCCTCCTCCTCCTCCTCCTCCTCCTACTTCCCACTCTTCCTTCTTTCTTCATTCTTCTTCGTCTTCTTCTTCCTCCTCCTCCCTCCTCCTCCTCCTTTCTTCATTCTTCTTCTTCTTCTTCCTCCTCCTCCTTTCTTCATTCTTCATTCTCCATTCTTCTTCCTCCTCTTCTTTCTCTTCTTCTCCTCCTCCTCCTCCTCCTCCTTCTTGAGATGCAAAGTATGCCATCGTCTCAAATTTGCGTCTTGCATTATGAAATGAAGTTTGTCTAACATGATGAAATTGAGCACGATACTAACAATAAGGAAAACCCTGAGCTCATGATGAAGGGTTTGCTTAGCTTGCCCATGCGTGCCCTTCAGAGCGAAAGCAAAAGGAGGCAAAATTGCACAGTGACCGTGTTTGTTACCTTTGATGTCTCCTCCCAGATGGTGCCACCTCTTCCTCCTCCACCTCCTCCCGTCTTCTCCATTCCACCTGCTCATTAGTACCATATCCCTAAAATAGAAACCAACAACATGCAGAGCACAAAACACACAAAGGGATTCACCAACGAGGGAATAAAAATGTCAAGACCCGAGGGAGAAATGTTGACTGCGGTCTGCACCCGAATAGAAAGAACGACCCCGGTCATTACGGCTGCATCTGGACTGAAAGTAGCTCCAAATACGGCTATAAAGACCGGGCGAACAGTCCCGTGAAGACAGTAGCCCTGACAAACAGATGGACGAACGGACGAACGGACGAACGGACGGCCGTACCCACAGACTGACCGACAGAACCACTGACAGACAGAAAGAGGGAAAGAGGGCAAAGCAGTGAAAGAGAGTGAAAGAGAGCGAACATGAGAGAAAGAGAGAAACTGTGAGGGTCTAAGGAGAGAGAGAGAGAGAGAGAGAGAGAGAGAGAGAGAGAGAGGCCTGATAAAGCATGACAAACGAAAGACGGACGGACGGACGGACGCACAGACAGACAGACAGAGAGACAGAAGCTAAGCAAGGAATGTGACGGCCTAAGGAGAGAGAAGCCTTATAAAGCTTGAGGAAGGAGGGAGAGAGAGAGAGAGACAGAGAGAGACAGAGACAGAGACAGAGAGAGAGAGAGACAGAGAGAGAGAGAGAGACAAAGAGAGAGACAGAGGCAGAGAGAGACAGAGTGAGAGACAGAGAGAGACAGCGCATTTACGACTACTGAATTCTCTGGTAATCAATCTACTGATATTCTGCAGTCTAGACTCTCTCTCTCTCTCTCTCTCTCTCTCTCTCTCTCTCTCTCTCTCTCTCTCTCTCTCTCACA